AGATGTCAATCAACAATCAATACCAAACGTGTGGTTTGTTTATGTTCAAGTGCCCGGTCTTCATCACTATGAAAAATTCTCTACATCGAGGAGATTTAGACGTATTTGAAAATGAAATCGAACACTTCTTGATTATTTTTTTTTTTTAGTAAAAACCGTGTAGTATACAATACGGTGAAGTATGAGAAACATGATGTATAATACGCAGCGAATACGGTGTTTGACCTCGGGATGTCTTATACGTATACTGTAGTCCGCCGAAAAATATACCATAAACATACATATAACGATAGAATCTCCTCTTCTTTAGCAGAGTCATATTAAATGCGATGCTATCCCTGAAGTCGTTCCTCCTTTTAGACAAGTGTGCATCCGTACGTGAGCGATCACTACCTTTGAGTTCTTGGAAAACCGCCCGAGGACGAGACATGGCTGAGTTCTGCCGTGGCAGGCCGTGGTGCAGTACCTGAACGGTGAATCTGATGGAGTATGCACACACTAACACAGATATGTCATATGCACCGTCAAGACAGACGCAAGCTCTCGCCGCCAACGTTCCCCGCACACACGTAGCCTCCCACATGAGCATCTTATTGAATTCCCATTATATTACGTGCGCGGCTCGATCTGTCTTCCCGTGCCCTCAGCAGCCTCCTCTCTGTGTTTCATCTAACTTTTACGTCGGGACGTGGTGGCTTATTTTTCCATGTCTCTGCTCTACGCTCGAGCAGAACAGTCGGGTGGGGCGCTATCGATGGGAAGCGGTTGAAGCGCTAGCATTGGCATATTCGCAGATAGCAAGCACGAATAGGTTGAGACGTACGTACATACACATAGTTCTAGCGAAAGAGCCGACGAGTTGTTAGACGCCTAACGGAAGCAGGCGGAAGTGGGCTTCTTCGCCGTTCTTAGCCTGTAGCCATCGGACATTATGAGATTTGCCCAAATACTATTAGCTTAGAGAGAAGCTCTTAGATATCCCCCGGGGGTCCCCCTCCGATGGCGTAGCTAGAGTGCATAGTGGGAGACCTTCGTTGTCTGTCGAAGGGAGCCAAACCATCCGCTGAATGTGGCCAAATCATCGATTTTGGCTTAGCTCAATAGACGCAATTCCCGAATTAGCCTAAAAGCCAGAGGATGGTAAAAAAGTGCAAAAAAAGAAGAAAAAAAGCAAAGTGTCTTCCAAAACGTAGGTGAAAGACGTTAATTGTTTTACGGCGAGCAATAAACAAGATTAAGTTTTTTCTACCAGATTGTAAAAGATAGTAGATGAACTGTCAGCCACCGAGGTCCGACAGGATAAACTTGCTGCTAAACGCTAGGTAATCTCGCTGGAAAAAGCAGGCGATTGACAGTATGTTACTTGATGAATAGCATATAAGCAAACATCTGCTTTATGTCTAGATTGGTCTTCCTATTTTGCGATGGAATGTCAACTTTTCAAACGAACTTTGCCATAGATGAAGCTTGACAGTAACTAAGTCTTGCTAGTTATATTTGTCCGAGGTCTTTCGGCGATTCCTAATATCCCGAAAAGCCCATCTTTTTTGTCTCCATAAAAAGAAGACATAGCTTCTAACTTCAGTTTGACTCGCTTGCGAAGCTCACACATCAGAGTGATAACTCGATTAATAGCACCGCCTGCGGCATCGATGCCGTTGTGTGACATATCTGTTGTTACATAGAAAACTATGCATATGACATGATATTGCTATTTGTTAGACAAACCGCAACGATTGACCGCATGATCACAGTTACCTCTTATAAATGCTTGCTTATAATTACAATCGAATGCACTAGCCCTGTACTTAATTATAACACATATACATAACACGTTAAGTATTTTATCATATGTCGTCAACGTAAAAAAAGGTTAAATACACATTACCAACAGCACGAGTGTGGTAATTTTTTACCCCGTTTCTATGCACTCTATCGAAAAACGAAAGAACGCTCCGTTTATATCGCTATTCTTCTAAAATACAGCTGCCTTCCCTAACCCTCCGTTATAGATATTGCGAGACTAACTTGATGGCGTCGCTCCAACGCCGTTACCGTCATTGGGAGGCTCGCGTTGCTATGACCACCTACAATGGCGTCGGTCAGATAGCTAGGCACTCAGCAGTCAGATTCGATCGAGTATTGAAGTTTGGTTGGGTCGGTCAGCAGACCGACAGCGCAGCAGGACAACAGGCTGACTGGCCACGGAGGCGCTAGTGGCGAGCGGCTATATAGCAGACGCAATGAGGTCATAGCAGAGGTCTCTTGGTAACGTTGTTGAAAGCATGGTGTAGCAAACGATGGAAAGCTGGCGCGATTTTCCTGTGTACCGCGCCTCTCATTCTCCACACAGTCATGTATACAGATATATAATATATGTAGCGTATATATATGCTACAGGAGATACGAGCGATAAAAGAGAGACAGAGCTGACGGCGAGAAATAGCTTTATCTTTTTTTAGATTAACAGCACACACGCTCAGCATCGTGCTTGCTTCCACGCTCTGCACCGTCTACCCCATCGGCCTGACCTCGAAAGAAGCCTCCTTTATATATCAGACTGCAGAGGCTACAACATTCCCAAGACGGCATGGCAGAGAGCGTAAATGGAGAAATGTGCGCTTGTTTCTCTTCATGGCTAAGAGGACAAACATTCAACATGTTGCAGCATTCGCTCCCAGTTTTATCCAAGTCAAGCACGCTTGCCGCTCTATAAGCACAGGGCTAAATCAGTTTCATAACCCGCAAATTTTGTTTCCACTTCGACCATCCTTCCCATCGTTAAACCAAGGGCGTCGTTGGGTTGGCAGGGAGGAAATTGCAATAGAACAGACTTTTCCATTATACTTCTATGTATCTCGTCTCCTATTGTACGCGTTATCTGGTTGAACTTGAGGTCTACCGCAAGCCAACCCCCAAGCCTTTTGCATGCTTATCCCAAATCAGCGAACCTCCGCCTCCGTATCCGGGAGCGTGCCTGCACTATAGGATGCTTGGAAAAGAATAGTCGTTCGTGCTTTTACGAGTAGCATGAGCAAAAAGTAAGAAAGGACGAACAGAGGATGGATGAGGGTGGGCGTTATACGCATGCACAAAGGGGGCGACATATATACACACGTCATCACGTACATAGTGACGATAAGTAGTTGTCGTCGTCCAGCGACGTTCGTCAGCTCCGAAAGAACACAGTGATTAGGTTTAAGCTGGTGCCTTTGCTTCCATTTTAAAAGATCTTATATGCAAGTGTGTGTGATTCAAAATTCTCTTTCTTGCTCTTACTTCCTTCTGCATCCTTCTAGATGTTTCTTCACCATCGTGCGTCCATTTTATCAAAAGACAGCACCTGTTTCCACTTATAGTTAACTAAGTGGCCATTTGTACAACACAATAATAGAAGCAAAATGTTAGCAAAGCCAAAACATGTGAAGTCTACATGTACACTTCAAAATATAAGCAAGTATAAATAAAGAAATGTGCTCACCAAGAAAAAGTATAAAAGAAACCTGTGCCTACCGAGTAAGTGTGTGGCTGCGTTGACTCGATACATTAGATGTTAGCAGCTAATCGTATAGCCGTTATCTGTATGAGCGTGGTAAAATATTGCGGTTCACCGTACCATGCTAACTAATCATCGAGGCGCAGTCATAATACACCTTGAGGATTGGAAACAAAAATCGACATCAGCAACAAAGGAACTAACTTTTTCTCCCCCTTTCTGTCCAAAGCTGCCATTGCCTCTTCTGGCATTATCGCCGACGCATCGGCGAAGGAACGTCGAAGTTTCCAAATCAAGACGTCCACCCAAGCACGAGTCCGCCGAGAACAAAGAACTCAAGGAAGACAAAGGGCACCGACAGCGGTAGCATAAATCGTACAAAGAACTGCTATAAAATTCAGTTTAAGCTAATGTATGCGCATGACGAAGAGGGAGGCGATGGCGGAGGAAAGGGCAACGAGGCTCTCGATACTACCGTCGGCATCACCAAGGCTCCAACTGTTATACTATTCGCTGGGGAAGGGGAAGTCGACAGGAGCAGAGAATGGATAGAAGACTACTTGAGCTAGCATATTGCAAAGAGCCGAGTAGGTCCCTAGGATACATCTTGCAGTTCTGCTTGTCCCGTTTCTGAAAATCCCGCAAGCGCCTTAGAACGGCAACGAGCAATGCTACTCAGGAAGGAAGTGCGAGTTGAGACAGAAGAAAGCATGACGATGAAGCCGATGTGGTGCCGACTGGGACTGCACCAGGGTTATCTCGACAACGTAACTAGGTAGAAACAGAACACTGCAATAAGGATGAGGCGCAGGAGAAAATACTCCGAAGATGCAGCGAAAAGTTCACATATTCCTGTCTAAAGCTTTGCTAAAAGGCTTCCTAGACTAGGCAAAGATGGGGAACAACGAACAAGCGGCCACTCTAGCTCCCTATGAACGAGCCATGCATGGGCATAGAATATTTCTCAAGGGACAGTTTTGTCAATGGTTAAAGTGGACATGCACCATTTTCGAGGTAAAACGAGGAAGAGCAAGAACTAAAGTTCAATAGAAAACCCTCTGTACGGAGGTAAGGTCGTTGATTCGACTAGTTTCGTATACTCCTGGATAGGCCTATAGAGGCACGTTTTCATTCAACTTTTAAGTTTATTATAATTAACAAAGTTCGTATTGAATTTAGTTCATGACAGAAAAACGATTTCTATTATAGCTTATCAGACGAAGCAAACGAATTGCTTCTGAGTGAGACTTTATTGAAACAACATCTTGGGCAGCATAATACGAAACGCTATCAAAGTTTAGAACACTTCTTTCTGCAGCTATTTTTTTTTTAAATATGCGTTCTATTGGTCACACGCTTATATGACAATATCTACATTATCCAATGCATCCATAGCAAATACATGCTTGTAAAGTTTTAGATATCGATTTTTATTAGAAATATGCACCGTATAACATTTCAAAGGTTGGATAGCATATGCCATCATTATCGCTGTTGATTTCAGTCGGTTCCGTGGTGACGGCGGCGTGTCAAAATATGGTCAGCTAGATGAGGACGAAGGTGGATATCAAGAGGGTGGTGCGACTGCCCCTGGAGGCTTTGGAGAAACTGGGGGAGTTTCCGGAGCTGGAGAACCTGTTCATTCTGTTGACCACGTGGAAATCGACCATGGACCACGAGATTGGCGAAAGTAAGTATGGCTTGCTTGATGGGATTGGAAACTCACTTATTAGCTTCTTTTTTTGGGCAGTACAGCATTCCTATGCTTATTACAGTGGGTAATCCACCTCGAAGAAGATTTTCCACCGAGCAAAATATGATCTAAGATGTAAAGGCATTTTGTTTGTATCAAAAATAAGGATTTTTATCGCTTATGAGCCAGCTAGCGAAAAAAGTTTGAATTAAAAAAGCATCGGCATTGATTTTATTGAAAAACGTATTCATTTATATATAATTCTTGCATAATGCCCTTGTAGCAATACATAAGCAATGATTATGCTGCCAATTAGTGCAACGTTAATGTAAATGAACGGATTCAGGTCCAATCAACAGAAATTCTCTTTTTCACTTTACTTCACTTACTTCACTTTACAATTACTTCACTTTATAATATTCGTAGCTCACTACATGGCTTAGTAAGCTAGGTATATTAGCGAAACTAGGAGAAAAGCTTTTATCTAATAATAATTTTGCCAAAACTTTTTCAAATCCGTTGCTCAACAAATAATAGCTTATCATAATTCTGGGCGATAATATCTTCATAATACTACGCCACTATATCACTCTCATAATTAGCTACTCTTATAGTTAGATACAGCGGATAAAATATAGCACAGGTTAGCGGTCAATGAAAATGACACTGACAGCGGTATCAAGAACGCTATACTATACTTGGTTTGGTTCCTCCTATCCTGGAAAGTAGCTGGAAAGAAAAAAGGACAAAGGTAAAAAGCCTTCTGTAATTCCAACCAGTTCCTACCTTCTACTGGTCGGTCGCTTTCTACACCCCGCTGGTGCCCAGACGTAAACGGCTAATCGGCATTCATGAGATCCTTAATCCTTTCAAAGGCCTCTCACACCCAATACAACAAATGGGGCTTTCGACCTGAGAAGCCAGTAGGCAGCCTGCCGGCTCTGCAGCGTTGAGCCATGGCTTTATAAAGTCGACCGAGGCGAGACAGGCCGATCCTAACCCAACATTTCCTCCGCACTCATTGCTCCCTTCGTTCGCCTTCGCCGAAGAGGAAGAACCGCAACTCGCGCATCAGCCCTCTCGCCTGGCGAACTCCTCAGCCAGACCGTTACGACGTGGGCCTACTACCGTGGCCGTAAACAGGTAGGCCCTCCTCAATCAGGCTAGAGTTGAACGGCAAGCCGCGAGCAGTAAAGAGCCGCTTGGCACGCAGCAGGCAAACAGACAGACAGATAGATAGCCGGACTGCGATAGTCGGAGCAGAAATGGCTTTTGGAACACGTAACGATACTGGTGGTCGCGGGAGCTGTAGTTCAAACAGAAGAAGTTAATTGGGGGAAGCTAAGCGGGAAATTCATGGAAGTGCATGAGCACCAGTCAAAAAGAAGCTAACACAGCGGAATAAGGAGCCAGCAGGATGCCGACGGTAGGGAATGAACGCGAACGGCTCGGAAGAGGCCACCACTGGTTCGGCTAGTGCCTTTCACCATCGCTGCAGCAACGGGATCTTCAACAGCTGCAGCTTCTTGACGATGAATGAGCAAAGCGGGCCAAACCACTTACGTGGGGGCGTATATGAAGATTTAGAAGGTGAAGGCGCGAGGCAGTGGTAAGGCTTAAAAAGGGCTTTGTGAGACGAACCTTCATGCCCATGCCCATGCCCATGCCCATGCTTTGCCCCTGCGCTTGTGATTCTCTAAACGAAGAGTTGGCAGGAGCGTTTGTATGAGGAGGCACGTCGAGTGCATTATCTTGCTTGATATGACTGTGCTAGAGACCTTAGCCTTTAAGCGCAGCTTCGATTCATAGTGAATAGCTTTCTTTTCTATAGCAGGAACGCATCAGGTTCATTCGCACTTTGAACCTTAGTTCTTTTAGCCCTTCTACGAAAACTGCTCACGGCAGTCTCCATCTCATAGCAGAGGCCGGAAATAAACTAGCGACTAGAACACCTAGCGAGTAGCGGTGTCTAACGATTCTTAACGATGATAGCAGCTAATGATGAAGAAATAGTGGCCTTTCATGAACGGCTTGTTGTGAGATATGCACAAGGATTATTACGGTTGTAAAATGAATACTTATCTTCTGCTGTTACTACCAGCGCACGTATTTGGAGAAATGGACCGAGTATATGTATGCAAGGAAATAGTCTTAGCCGTATATTTATGTAATAAGGATTCAGACCATTTATTGTTTCTACGCGATCGTGCTTGTCGTCACGCAAATCAAAGATTTTTCACAACACTAACTGAAACGTGCCGTGCTCCTTATTTTTAACTCAATTATTTCACTTGCAGACATATGGAACCAAACTGTCCGTGTGCGCCAAATATGTCGAAACGGATGACGGTAGCTGTACTATCGTCTATTGGATTCCTAATCTCGTTCGGCATACGATGCAATTGGGGTGTTGCTATTGTTCAGATGACCAGTAACACAACAGACGAGGTATCGGCTCAGAAACTTGGGTGAATAGAATAACTATAATCTATCAATATTCAAATATGGTAACAGCTCTCACTGTACTAATGCATTGTACAGCAGCCTATGAGAAATCTATCTAAATGCAGGTTCAGGTTTACAGGATCACTTGCTTTTAGCCAAACGACGCTTGACGTCCAATAGACACCCAGAGAACAATACCGCATAAGGAATATATCTCTATTATAGTCGCAGACAGTCAATTATTCAGTGATGCTATTAGCTAGAAATATCGATCAAGACTGAGAACTTCTAAATTTGAAGTTTTGCTTTGCCCTGTTGATTTGTGTCAATAATATCTTTGTCTAATTGTACGCTTTATCACATGGTCTTTGTTTGCTTCTCTTTACATTTCTATGCCGGTTGTGGCTGCCGATGCTTTCCGGTATTGTACTTGGGCTGCCTACCCGATAACTTCACCTGCTTCTTGTGTCACAGGGTCCTGAGTTCGACTGGAAGGAATCGACAATCGGTTTAATTGACTCGTCTTTCTTTTGGGGCTATCTAGTAACACAAGTACCAGGCGGATTTCTGGCGGCCAAGTATCCCGCGAATCGAGTATTTGGAACAGCTATTGCATGTTCCGCTGCGTTGAATATACTGATTCCGGCTGCAACGGGCGTCGGTGTCGGAGCCATCATATTTGTCAGGGTGATGCAGGGATTAATTGAGGTACGTGCCACCTTCATGCGCCACTCTAACCATTCTACAGAGTTATAGAAATCTGCTGACAGCTGATTGACACAATCTGTAATGCAAAATTGACCTTGTTGATTACTTGCGAACAGTCTGTGCATTTTTGGCGACTATGATGGTGATGACTATAAACACTTCATACTTGGAGAAAGGCTAAACTTCGCTTTGCTTTTTGTCTTAATTGTATCACATGTTATGACTGGTATATCAAAACGTATCAGAAACAAAATGCTCCGTCTCTTTCCCATGCCCTAAAGCACAACCCTAAAATATTAGTATAGGACTTAGCAAAGCTAACCTTAACAGGACTCGCCTTGTAACGCAGGATTCCTTCTTATATCAATAGTTAGCTAAAATTTCCACTCATTTGATGAAAATATAAATTGAATCAAGGTCAAGGTTATCTAATATCGAAAACGAAATTTATTCATATGATTTCCCAATAAGTGACGATAGGAATAATAACAGCTGTAGAAACTTTTAATATGTTAATTCTATTTTTTTTTTTTTTTTTTAATATTTTAACTTCAATAGAAAGTTTTTCTGATGAACCCACCGTTAGTTCCACCCAGAAAGAGATCAGGGTCTTTCGAAAGAAAAACTGTAAACTTCAAGGATGAAGACTTGGTGAGGTTGAAAATGCATAAATCTTAACGAATCTTCGATGCAGTAATGTACGTAACCTTCAATATACGACACACAGTCGGAACTGGTCAATGAAACAGCTTAAACCTTATGCTAAGATTATCTACAAAGATAGCTTGTTTACACGTGAGCGATATCAGAAAGATCTGCGTAGTGCTTAGAGTGAAATGGCCGGGGGGGGGGGAGGACATTTCCGACGGAACTGTGCACATCTTACGCTTGCTGCGGTATTTTCCTGTTTTTGTTAGATACTGATTCAAAGGAGACAGGACGCGTCAGTAAGTAAAAACGCCTCGCATTGTACCGCACGGACCTAATATAGTCTCAGCAATGACGAGTCTATATTTAGATATTAACGCATAGCTGACATACTTGTCCATATTTTTTGCAATAATGCTAGCGTCATTGTCTATCGCGCGATTGTTGTCATCGTCGCTAAATGTATGCGGTATGTTCAGGATATCTCGAAATTGAGCTGTTTCTGCTTTTTTACCCCCTGTACGCCCCTCGGCATTCGATCTATAGATCGATATTAGGCCATCAACAATCCGAACGCGATTTACCTTTATTGACTGCGTTCGTTTCTAGCTTACAACACAGTGTGCTTGACTGTGCGCTTCTGGGGCTACCAAAAGGTTAGTCGTCTACGCACCCATATATATATATATATATATAGGTACGTGTATATGCATAAGAGTTATTTGTGTCTTTATCACGCAACATGGGGGTAGCGTTGTAAAACAACATATGATGTCTATAAACATAATGATAAAAGTATTAAAACCTGTTTGTTTTCTGCTGATTTGAACATAAGCGACATCAAAAATTACTGTAGTAAAAAAATGAGGTGACCCTACGGAAAGTTCTGTGAGAACAGACACAACCCTGTACCCAACCACTGACCACATGCATCCACTTGCGCTTCGCTATTACTGCTTAAGAAAGAGGTTTTGCATGCTCGCTGACTCATGGCTTAGAATATATGACTATGGCTTAAACGCTTGTCGATTTCTGTTATTTATTGAGAACACTTTGCATCGCAAATAATTTCTTGAATTTATGCACATTTTTCAATAGTTAGCTCTTAGGACGTTCTTATATACACCTAATATGAGGCCGTGAAAAATAGGTTTACGATGACAAAAGATGTAAACCTAAAACTAGAAGGCGTCTCGTTAGAAAGGACGAAGCTCTGAAATGAAGCAAATCCTGTTTCACCAAAGTGTTTTTCGGATTGCAGGCTGGCAGCTTTTCCTCTCTAAGCCCTGTCTACTTTCTTCTCGCTACTATTCTGCTTCAAATGCGATGATCTACCGTTGAGAGTGCCCTTTCGTCCGTTCAAGACCACAATCTTCTATAATTCCCTCATACTAATCAGCAAAATCTCTAGATAACTCGTAGGCTTCAATGGGCGCATTCTAGTAAGACAAGTATTACCCCGCCTGTCAAAGGTTTGTTGTGGTACTAGAAGACTTAAAAGTTACCATTATTGATGTGCGTTTGACCTTCCGGATAGAGCAGTCATACTACAGAGAACCTTATACCTGAATTTCTGCAAACGGTTGAGCCTTAAAGAGGAAGCTTTAAATTGAGTCGCCGCGGAGACTTTTGAAGTAACTTTTAGACGTAAAAGTTTGATAATGAATTCCCGCTTAGGGGTCTTACCAATGTTTCACAAGGCCAACAATATTAACCAGCATCGTAAACAATAAATCATATAAAAGATTACGAACCATTTACCAGGAAGGATTCTTTCTTGCACTAAAATATACTATAAAGATACTTAACTGGATTATATAGTTGAGTTTTCTTAGAGAAATGTGTTGTCTCAGGATATTTGAAAAGCACAAGCTGAGGTTTCGTACTAGGTTAATATATTAAATAAAAATAATACCTACGGTGTTACGGTTTGCTGAGCCTATCCTAGTAGATAGCTATGAAAATAAAGAATACACATGTTTGTGTTTTTATCAGGCTACTCAAGCAAGCACAGCACAGAGGTAATGCTTTAATATATTTATCTACTTAGTCATATTGTATATGGCCAGTGATTTGGACGCAACCCGGTCAGATATTCTGTGCTTTTGCTGAAAGAAAAATTGGAATTAACCTTCACCTCCACTTATTCTTACGAAACACCTCATCCTATAACTGTTTTTTTTCTCTGCAAGGCCATTTATGCTTTGTACGCACACCCCAGCGGAAAACCTTAAATGCAAATTTATCTTTGCTATTGTCAGTCGGCCCTCTCTCCAAGCTCCCTGTTTCGAACGGCTATTTATCTAATTCCCCAATGCATACGTTAGTCAACGTGTTTTTACCTAGTCTCGTTAATCTATATAGCGAAATCACGAGAAATCCTGTGAAACAAACGATCCCCGTTATGCTGCCACTCCACAGTTGCTCGTTGATTCTTCGGAAATTTTTAGCGACAAAGCGCTTTGCCTCGTCTAAGTCAAAAAAGTCTCAGGAAAAATTACTTCTAGTAAGTGTCGCCCACTTGTACATATTGCTGCGATCCCCGAAGGACACTATCAACTTTCGACTGTTCACTTTCCGCGAGCAATGAGTGAATCTAGGTCATGAGAGAAAAAAAAGCGCTTTTTTATATCCCTTCGATTCTTCTCCCCACATCGATCAAGTTTCTAGTGAATGTGGCAGGTACAGGTCAAGGAGAGGCACACAGGCAAAGGTCAAGGAAAAATAACGGGACGTGGCGGCTTTGACCTGCATAGAGGCTGGCCGGCGTAAACTAGGTTCAGCGGCTTTGGTGTTCTCTCTGATCACGCATCTTGTTGCACATTTACATCCAAAAGATCGAGGGGTCGTGAGGAAAAATAACACCCCCTCCCCTCCCCCTCCAATGTTTCCTCGAAGGAGTTTTGCTAAATTCTCCTCCTATGGACAATGGCAGTTGTTGCCCCTACACTCCACTTCCCCCCCACCTCTTTTTGCCTGTTGCCCTTCTCCCTTTCGTTTCGGTCAGGCCTCGTCGTTCGGAGAGACTTCACTCCTAGATCAAGATAATAAAGACCCCCAACAAAGCGACTCCGTTCTCTGAACGTGACCGAAGGGGTCATCATCACCAGCCTAGAGCTAGTACTTCTGTGGACCCGTCCTCCACAGCAACTGCGGGTACAACCGATACTGCCATCAGGGTAATGTTACCGCTACCGGTGCTGCTATTTACCTTCGCAACTACTACCATTCTTCTACTGGTTGGTTTACTGTGTGTTAGTGGCTTTTGTGTCTTCTTTGTGCAGCCATACTGTGTCTTTGTATATATATATATATATATATATATATATATATATATGTATGCTCCTTTCTCTTTGTTCCTCTTTGCTGAAGCGGCGGTGTGGATGCTGTGTCGTACGAGACTGTGACGGCTCGGTGCTCGATGTTTGGTTTTCTGCTAGCGCGGAGCGCTGTTTGCCTTTGTGTTCCCCTGCTCTTAAATTCGGGGGATACGCCAAAGACCAAACGGGAGCCAGGCAACAATTCTTTGTTGTTTTTATCGAGCATACTTTCGTCCGCAGCAGTTCCTTGTAGGCAGCGCGGAACTTGCAGGCTGCAACTAGTACTATACATCGTGTGCAGACATTACATTTGGAACTCGATAGAAAATATCCGAAGATTGACGGTGGCATAAATAGTTATGCTATAGTTAACCCTCGGCTAAACTGCATATCATCATACAAACTGTTGTGACAAACAGAAAAGCGACTAATCGTTTTCGAAAAATGTTCTGTTGTGAGCCAAGGTAGAGTTCTATAAACCATCATCGTGCGCCTTGTAAAGTATCTCAAGTCATCTACTACGGTTTCAGATAGAGTTGTTCAATGACGACACAGACCAGGCAGGATAAACGTATTGGGTGACTCGATGGAATCCCTGTTAGTCCCAGTAAAAAGGACGAAATCTCTAAGAGTCATATGTACATTTGGGGGAGCCACAATGCCAAGATGATCGGAAAGTATACGTGGCTACAGCTGGTAATACATTATTGACGGAGATAACATATCGTTTTTATGAACCGACTCGATCGCGTTCTATTATACTTTGCATAAACAGATCATCTATATATTGTATAAACGCGGGTATATACGAAGCTGCGATACACAAAACCTGATCACAATAATAACGCTCCGGCGTGCGTAAACCGGATCATACGAACATTTCAAAGTCTAAGAACACTACAATAAAGAGCTTCCGGTGCTTCTGTTTCGCGCATTAACATGGATTCCACGTCTACAGGAGCACTATGGCGAAAAATGTCTTATGGCTACCACTCGACTTCACACGTATCACGCATTGGCTTCTTTATCCTTCTCGAATTGGGCTTAGTAACGTTTCTGCTACAGATGTGTATATGCGGGGATAGATGCAACAACTCGATTGAAAGAAAACCCAGATTTCACTTCGAATAACTTCGGCAGAATTTGCGAGGCAGGCACATTAGACACATGTACTCATCTTTTGACTAAACAGGAATACACACGGGCGTGTAGAATGATAACTAAAAACTTCAATATTGAGTTTCTAATAAATGAGTCCTTGAAACAAGTATATAATATCTCTACAATTACGAGTTCTTCAAAGACGCCGTTGCACGCAGTAAACTTACTACATGTTACACATGCGCGCATTAGCTTCCGTATGAAGTTTCAAATTCTAATTTAACTCGAGCTTATTTTTATCTCGATCCCATATGACCGAAGTGAGTAATAAAAACATTTAAGTACTATATAATCGATAAAATCAATGTTTTCTTACTAAAAAAGGACAAATAACTCCAAGGCTTTTCAGTTCCTGACTACTGATCATCGACGGGGCAAGGCAGCGTACTAGCTGTATAAGGGACTCTGCGTAGGTCTGTGCCTCGTAGGCCCACTGCTTCTACTACTAGTACAGTCACTACATTATGGATGAGTGGATGTAAACAATTTAAGTTCTAATCGTGCTGATTTCATGCCATTGTTTTTGCTGTTGTATTGTTGCCTATATTCTATTCGTTGCCGTCACTGCCGTTCGTGGCCCTTTCGCCGTCTGGATTTCGTGCTGTTCTTAAACGTTGGTCGTTTGATTCACTACTCGTCACCTAACCTAACCTAACAGGGGGTTACATACCCAGCTTGTCACGGCATATGGCGCTTTTGGGCTCCGCCAATGGAGCGAAGCAAATTAGCAACGTTGGCGTTCTGCGGCTCGTATGCAGGCGCGGTGGTTGGCATACCACTGTCATCCTTTCTTACCAGCGTCTTCGGCTGGCAGTGCTGCTTCTACTTCTATGGCATATGCGGCATTATATGGTTCGTATACCAAAGCCACTGAGGTGTGTTATATTATATTAAAGTTTAAGACGTAAAAAGCTAGGTAAAAAACGTTTGTTTGCGCAAGTGATTACGTTCACGAACGTTAATCACATAATAACTACAGTAACAATAATACTAGTTCTTGATATTATTGCAGTTGTCAGATGTTTATAAACATAGTAGCTATCATGTATACCGACTAGAAGCAAACATTTGTTCAATCAGACAAAACTTACATTTTTACAACAACAGGCAACAAAATGCCTGTTAAAGTTGTCCTTGTTGCAATTATGTACATATAGACTCACACGCATGTGTACGTTTGTACGCGATGTACGAGCCGCTGACGGCACCATAGTCTTTACTAGCTTCCCTCTTTCAATCTACCTCGGATGAAAAGGAAGAATTGTGATTTATCAACTTAATGCAAGCATGTTTAGAAGCACTAGAAAAATAGTATCTATAATGGTATGTAAGGCGGTAATTCTGAAATTTGGTTTTATACGTTTAAGCATTGTTTAACCAGATTGGTAAGTATTTTAGAACGAAACTATTATATCACAAGCTTTGGACCTATTCGCTAACAGTCTAATCCTTTCGTAGAGACAAAAACAATTGCTTCTTATCTTGTGTTAAGCTTAATCGTGGTCGCCTATCTCTACTATGGCTTTGCCTTAACAGCATACATCGAAGAGCCATCATACATGGAAATGAAATATATATGGAAAACTGTACAGATCCTAATTGTCGTGCTCTGACAACTTCGAATTCTAATTAGGTACGCAACATGGCTATGGCTAAGCTTTGAGCGGCCTGCGTTCCATCCTACAATCTCGGCGCAGGAACGGCAGTACATCGAAGAATCTCTCGGTTCGACCTGTCAAAGTGCGCCAACCCTATACAATACACCCTGGAAATATATATTCACATCCCTTCCTGTGTGAGTACTCAAAAACAAAGACCGCTTTTGTCATTGCATGCTATATTATTTTCAATACAATCAAATAAACATTGTTTGGTCCTTTATCAACTATTGCTAAGATTTACTGTTTTAGGGTTCAATGAATTGTTGCGAGCAAATTCGGCTGTCGCCCATACGAACACTGGAAGCTATCTATTAATGTTATAATGTTAATTTAATCAGCGAGTGTAATCAGACTACTTAAGTTTCGATCTGAGCTTCACGTTGCGGATTGAAACTCCCTTTGAGTTACCGTTTCATGCTGGCAGATCCCCGAAGTGAAGCACGAATTAAACACTGTTCCACTCTGGTGTCGCTTATTGCTTTACATGATTGTCATTGCTAACTACCACGCCGTTACTTGTGACACACGGTGCTCCTCTACTCAATAGCGGCTCAGTATCTATCTACCGATTTCACGGTTTGTAAATTTCAGATGGGCAATTATCGTTGCAAACTTCTGCCGATCGTGGACATTCTATTTACTGATCTTATCTCAACCGATGTACTTCAAGCAGGTCCACAAACTTCCACTTTCAGAGGTAGTGACACACCCTGTGTACAGGGTATTGTTTTCTTTGATAATATATATACAATGGTTTTAAGATACTATTAGTGCCAGACTACATGATAGGCACTCATGATATAAGGAATCTATTGTGGTCAGTAGTTCTATTGGAATTTATTACTAACTTGCAGTCGGGTTTCCTGGGGGCCTTGCCACATCTGTTAATGGCAACCGTTGTACCGTTTGGGGGTCAACTTGCCGACCGTCTCCGGAAAAGACAGATACTCACAACTACACAGGTATCTGCTGGCGTTTAATTTACTGGTGACTCTAACGCAATATGTGCTAGACTGGACTATTTTCTAAATCAGATGTCTTGATATTGCGCATATAGTAGACAAACGTTTGATTCGTTCGCCGCGATATCAAATCAATGAACAATAATTTATATAACGACTCCGTAATACTCCGCTATTGTAGGTCCTAAACCTTTCTATGGGCGCATTCGGATACCGATGTTGAAAACGTGCACATCGTTTGCACGATATGGATCCGAAAAGAGATTTTAACTTGATTTTAACCCGATGACTCAGTAGGGAAACAAGTTCTCGAAAACAGCAGCGAACCTAGAAAATGAGAAGAAGCTATGAAATTACTTTCTCTCCTGCCATAAATGACAATTGAACCCTATCGATAAAGATGCTTTCCCTGTTCAATGCATAGAACCAAAGCGCAAACCGTAACAATAATTTAATCCTGGAGCTTAATAATGAGCTACCCCATGTGGCCAACAGTATCAGTCAGACGTGTTCAATGATATGAGCAGCCAATACGCATAAATAAATCTTCGTTGGTAGCTGTTTTGATAGTGATAAATCATTTTGCAACATTACATTTTACCAAAGTAAAGTACATGGCAAGACATCGTGATGATTTGTCATTTCTTTCCATTCTCTAGATTGTGATCGACGTTGAAATTGTCCAGCTTAAATTAGCCGCTTTAGTCAATGCCTTACATTTTCGCATAGAATTCAATGCTTACTCGCGCTCGTGTTATAAACGACTATGGCGGATCTCTAACGTTGCGCGTTCCCTGTGGCATTCATTATGACTGTCTACCGCCGCTGCTGTAGGTTCGAAAACTATTCAACTGCGGTGGTTTTGGCATGGAAGCTCTCTTCCTGCTTTTTGTTGCCTTCACGAGATCTACAACCTTTGCCATTATCGCACTGATTCTCGCTGTCGGCTTCTCCGGATTCGCCATCTCTGGTAAGCAAGCACGAGAATCATCAATGAGACTTCGTCAGCATCTTGATTCCTTCATGCACTTCGAACTACTGCATGTTGAGCTAGGCAAAGCAGACGATCAAACCCTTCGAAAAGGACCGTTTCTCCTACATCTTCAAAATGATTGTTAACCATGCGACATCTGCACAACACTTATAAACATGAGCTGTAAGAATTTTCTAAAGACAACATAATGTTATGACACAAAGGTCGACGAGTGAACATTTTGCTTGTAAGCAGCTGAGCAGGTCTTCGCTAGGTCGATGGAAGACCTTCTTAACTACGTAGAGTTCAACCGAGTCTACTCATTGTTATAATAGTAACAGGTAACACGAACATTATACGCACACAATAGGAAATACGATTAAACGCCATATAGTCTGAAATAAGTAGATGTTACCGTTTGTCGTTTCTTCTCGGCCGTTCCGAGTTACCGGTTATCTTAGTTTGAGTCTTACGACTTCCTATTGTCACTATCCGACCGCTCCTGTGACGATCGTGAATTTCAGGATTCAACGTAAACCACCTAGACATCGCACCTCGTTATGCGTCCATCTTGATGGGTCTGTCCAACGGTGTCGGTACGATTGCGGGCATGATGTGCCCCATCGTTGTTGAGTGGATCACAGACAGAAAGGTACGGGTATCAATTAGAAAGCAGTTAATATCTGAACGGGCTTTTACATAAGGACATAGCTCTCTTTAATGATGTCTATAAAGATTTATTACTCCGTCATTTACTTCTTTGCTACGAAGGAACATTTAGAACGCAAAACTAACTGACAACGTAATTTAAAACGTTAATGAATGAACATGCTTTCCTTAAGCTACAGCTTCTTTGTTCGGTATCAAATTAGGTAAACACTCGGCAGGCTTTGGGACCCTCGCATGCGTACTTGATTATGTACTATTCCCTTTAAACCATCGTACAATATAATACAATGAACTTCAATATACCCCTACACCACTTCCTTCCCAAGTAGAAATCTACCGGCACACCGTGAAGCTGCTCATTCACGATAACTCGCGAGCGCAATATTAGATTATAGATCGTTTGAATGTCTGGCTCATCTTAGTTCTCGAAAAGTGTTATGTTATGCTACGTCCGTTCCATATAGGCCGCCATTCTTCTCATCCCACCTACGATCAACATATATAACTATAGAAGTTAAAAGTACGCAGAATTGTTTGCCGGGGCCTGAATGCTTACACTGTACACTGTTCAGGGCGACGGAGCGACGGAAAGAAAGGAATAATTCGTTCTGATGAATTTGATTTGCCAGACGTTTTGCAGAATGCAGTTGTCCCGCGAGAATAGTCCTTTGAGCCATTGGTGCCAACTGTTAGACCCAAAGGACACTGGGGAAAAAACTCGGCTGGAGCTGCGCTCCAATCTGTTGTGTACTTCTTCGAGGACTGACATTGACCACACGCCTAAGCGATTCATCTAAGCTGCAGCCTCATTTTTGCAGGACTTTAAGACTGTGCGAAATTGGCCGAGTTCCGCGCGGTTACGGTACGCTAACGCGAGCGAGCCAGCTTATACCTGAGTAAAACGATCTAAATATCTGTCGTTACGTCAGTGTACAGCGTCCTGATGCATACACGATCGAACGTTCATTGAGTACACATAGATAATGTAGCACTACACCATAATCAGAACATGCCAAATACACGTATTTGTTGCACTCTGCTAATATCGGCTATGATAGATCTATTTCAATCTAAATAAAAAAAAATAACAATCCCGCACGAATGTCTTTGAGGCATTGTTCCATCTTGGGCGATTCCGATTTTGCCTAAGCTTTCGTGATTGAACTCCGCAGTAGATCTACGTCTATGCAGCTAAAGTACATACAGTAAATTTCTGCAAATTTTAAAAAGATAACTTTCGTATGAGACATGTACACATCTATATAGGAAATTAATTCGATAAATATTCGCCTAAAAATAATGTTTCGATTTTCCTGTGTTTGGAATCGAAGACGATTCGTACTATAGGTAGTGAAGTTTCCATATTTTTTATACAGTCGGCCATATTTATCTAAAATAAATGCTTGGAGTTTCTTCTAGCTAGCAGTACGTATTGACCAACGACGAATAAACGATGAGCCCTGAAGTGTTTGTCGCGCCCCCTGGCTTTGATCAGTGACATTAGGTGTTAGATCTCGGCGACCCCTGGCGATGCATTCAAAAGCCAGCATTCAAACCGCCGAAGGGTTTCTGGTCGACGCCAAAGAGGTCGCCAGTATAAATTTGAAAGTAGTGCAGTGTGAAAATATATCACTGTACCGTTTTGTCGAACATGTCGAAAAGAGATAGATGTCCGGTGAGCTAATCATAGTTTACTTAGTTGCGCTAGCGGGTGTAACTTAAGTATAAGTTGATACTTTACGAGGAAAGGGAATGCACAAGTGTACTGGCAAGGTCGGCTATGACCTTTCGGAGTAAACAAATTGAATTCCATTACTGGCTCAGACGTGATTATGGTCAGTTATAGAACCTTAGAAGCGGGTTTGGGTTCTTTTTGGTTTAAACAGATGACTAGATCCAGGCGCCTACCTTGTAATGGTATATACAGGACGAGCAAGGGCTAGCTGTACAACAAGCACAGAATTTAGTCTAGACGCAGGGTACAGTGAGTTTGTTCTAGTAACGAAATCAAATTCCCGGATGATGAAGACGTTGCTTCAATGGCACGTCTGCTTTTTTCATAACCGTGAACTTAACTTTCTGCCTTTCTCTCACTTTCCTTTTTCCACTGCGAATTTACCCGCGTACAATTTTTGTACGTTGCGCAACATGGTGAATGAAATTTTCACCTCACAAGCACGGTGCATCCTTTGTGACTTGAAGTAATGCAGAACCGCAGTCGAGCAGTAGCCATTATGGAATGAAAAGCGGTCGTTTTCTTTACTGGCATCCTCAAACCATTTAGAAAGACAGCCAATATAAACGTTATTTGCTCTTATGAAACCGCAAGAGACGATCTCCTTTATTATATCTCTACAAGCAGTTTTAGCCTTTGTAGCTTTTTTAATTAATTTCTGATTCTTTCATCGCTACTAAGAAGCGAGGCTGCCTCGACACGTTTGTGCTAGCCCTAGATAGTTTGCTACCATTTTAGTGAGAACCGTTGACTTTATTCACGTTATTTATGTTCACTGTCATTGTGATTTTTCTTTTAGAAACCGGATAAAGCTGCTGAACAGTGGCAGCGGGTATTCATCATTGCTTCCCTTATCCATTTCGGAGGGGTGATCTTCTACGCGATCTTCGCGTCGGGCGAAAAGCAACTATGGGCGGAGCCCGCCAAAGAGGCGGAACCCGTCGGTCAGCAGTCAGGGCAACCGTTCCATCAAGCAGGGAGACAGAGTGGTTATATCGACCAAACAGGGGGTCAGGGAACGGCACCCCCTTCATACGGTTCGAACGCTGAGACGAACTTTGTCTACGACCCAACCTCGCAGCAAGTCATTCAGGTACAGTAACAAAAGCACTGCATGCTATTTTTGTACACACAAACATATACGCACGCATGTACGTGCTGAAAAGTAGACCTATATTTATCGGTGTCAATCACCTGTCTAAATACTTCTGGGCACACCAGGATTGTACGGCCATTCAGGTTGCGGCGGCCATAAGCAGCTGCTGTCTGTCAGCACTCGTATCTGCGTTTCTGCATACTTCTCACGAAGTCACAGCGTCGGACATAACAGCAATAATAATGATCTAGGCCACTCACTTAGCCCATGCAGGCGTACCGATCTATTATATAAACAGAACATATGCATTTCACCAGGTTAAGCATATATCATAGACTGAGCTTACGGCTCATGTCGTTTACGGCTGACTTTGTGTTTTACTTGCTTTGTCGTCATTTTCTATTGTCTTCCACAACAGCCTTCCAGGCCACCGCCTCCTGTTGCTCCCAGTATGCCAGCTTACCAAGTCCAGCAACCTGTGTATGATCCGAATGCAGCCTGGGGCGAAGAAGCTTCTAGCCAACAAACCTCGTACACAACTAGCAACTATCCGTCAGGTTACAATACGCAACGACAGTGGTAGGGACATCTAGATCCAAAAAGAGGAACACGAAGGGAAAGACACGGCCATTTATTTTGTAGACACAAGCGGAGGGCGATGAGAAACACCGACAGCGGACGGAAGAACGAGGCGTACATGAGCTTCAGTTAGCTAGAAGAACGCAGGCAACTAATAGCTGCATAACAAGCGATAACAGACTGATAACGTAAACAAGACGATATCAACTGAGAAACGAACTGCGAACAATATTAAGCTAAACACAAATGAAATCTATGTTAAGGTGCTTGCGCCCATATGACATTCATCGTCGATTCACTATCAAACATACTATATATATATATATGAGAATCTACGGCGAATAGCGCTTTACGGGGAGGCTAACCAGGTTGTAGCAGCTGAAGGGACGCACGCTTAGAACGACAACGAGTATTTTACCTAACCAGCAGTGTGGATCACGACAGATATCGAAAGATTTAACGAGAAAACGATACGAAATCAATATGATAGATCTTGTTTATGAAGGTAAAACGGTGCACACGAGGCGTCGAAAAAAATTTAATAGGCGTATCTAGTGAAAACAGCTGTTGGCGAGACGGCTAGAAAGAGGGATTCAGAGGAGTGACCTCAAGCTTCCTCGGAGTTAGCGCGGAGTTACAGAACGATGATGAGGACGACGATGTCAACGACGAAGGTTAACGGTATCAGGTTTGTGACACGAGACTGTTGCTATTATCGTTGACAGTGGCCCGTAAAGAAGACAGTTATTTGAAGGAAAGATACTTATCTCGGAAACAGGGCGGCACTGAGGGTTATACAAAGCTAGCTAATACAGTATTGGACACGAACGACGTGATATAGCACATCGTAATGCAGCCGTGTGGTAATATATGCAACCAGCTGACCCTAACGGCGACACGGCATTGAACAGCAACAGCCGTAGAATCGCGAATCGCGCACGGACGGAGGAACGGAGAAGGGAAACCGATGCTCGGGCAAACGGGCGGGCCTTTAAGAGTCATACAGTTGTCATATATATATATATATATATACATGCGAGCAATCCGTAGAAAGGGACGGTTCGTTTTGAAGGACACTATAGAATGTTGCAGGAAAAGCCTGAAGTGTTAGATACTGATGATGGCCGACACTAGCAACACGGTATGGCAATATGGCTCTACGAGTCCGCTCCTTTCCTTGGACGACATGGCCAGTACGTCCTAGTGCCACTGTGTTATAATAACACTTGGGTTCTATAAGGAAAAGTGTTACTGTATTATCAATTATAGTACATGACTACTACGATAACCAATATTGTCGACATTACAAGTATTATGATAACGTAGTTGTGGAACAATATATACTGAGCAGTCTTTCGAAGCGACGCCTGACGACAAGTATTCCCGATGCAACGGCGACAACGTTGGTTAGACGGATCACGACACATGCTCCGCTTAACGCTCACGGCTGTTCAGTCGCAATCATCTAGCCCGAACTAGAAGAAGCCGTCAGAGAGTGCTCGCAATACGATCCATTGCCTCAACTCGTACTATACTGATTACTTGACTGGACGTAAACTCACAAAGGAATGATGACTGATGATAGTAACGATGATGGTAGTGGTAGTGGCGATGAGACTCGAAACGGGAAGGGGTGGAGAAGCCCGAGTAGAAAAAAAAGTCCACAGAAAAACGAATAACGGACACGTTAACAAACGATGGCAAACAAGACGGTGTCAAAGAGGTAATACACACAGTTTATCTGTTCTCGGGGTGATATCGAAGCATCCTATAATTTCAAAAAGTATTGTTATCATTACCATACGATAATATATCTAGTTGTATGCTAACACAAATGAATAAGCCGATTACCAAGCGTGTTATAAACATTGGCTATTCGCTCATCATATAGAAGAGAAACACAGATTCGAGAATGAGGATAGCGAGAGGTATATATGGCAGTGGTCGTAAAGGGGCGGAATGGAGGTCATGTCAATGGACTGTGCCTCGCCAACGGTAACTTGCGCCGATTGTGGGTAGGCAGAACACAGAGGATAAGCCGGACATTTTATTATCGAGTTTGTTTAAATCTTTGCAACTTTGTTGTTTATGCCTGTGGGCCATTTCAGGACTCATCACCCCCCAACATAATACCGTGAGATCGCTAGAGATATTACTGGAACAAACCGCACTCTGCCGTTGTTACAAGTGTCGCCTGTCACTAATTCAAACGATAGAATGAGAGTAATTATAGAACTATAGTGCTCGTAACGTTACTTAACCGACTGAGAAAATGAAACTTATCATTCCCATTATTTTTTGTAGTCGGTGTTTGGCCAGGGTTGTTCGGAACGCCAACATCCCAAAATTTCGCTGTTTTTTAACGGACTGAAGTTTATTTAGGAATCGCATTAACGTTGTTTTGCAACGTTGTTTACGTAATTGTTTCGTGAGGCTAAAGTACGATAAGTTCAGTGTGCGTGATCGTTCACGTCAGTTCAGGTGTTTCCTATTCGTTTGTTCGATATGATGTGGAAAACATAGCTCAGAATCGTAGCCCGGTTGGGGCAATTAGCGGCTGTGTATTTTGGTTTGTAACAAGTACGTGCCGATCGCTGTCACGTGCAGGACGTTTGTAAAGAAAATCATCTAAGTAACACATCGAAAGTTCTAAAGGATAATATGGTTTTCGCCGTTCTCTCTCTTTGCATACAGCGTGTGATCGAGTGTAAGTTTACAGTACGTTTTTTACAAAGAAATCATTGAACTTGAGTTTGCGGGCCCCGAAGTATAGTCAAGTACCTGACGACAATACGCACTCATCAAGCTGCTAAGAGGAAGAAATAAGCAGACGCGTCAAAGCTCTTCTAGCTGCACAGGAACTTACCGGTTTTCGTTTATCAGGTACGAGAAAAGTAGCATCCAGCTAATATCTGCGCTTGTGAACTTCGTCAAGCAATTAATCAGCAATGGATAGAGTGTGACCCAGTCATCGGCAGACGTTTCTAAGTTGCTTTCTCTTAAGCACCATCCCGCATTCCCGCTCACAGTGCGTCGTCAGCGCGTCTAGCCTAGACAACGACGGTACGCTAATACCGAGAGCTCATTCATGTGGGAATGCCTATCCTACTAGCTTTTACATTATGTAATCGCCCGTGTTAGTTGCGATCGCTTATCGGATTGATTTTTCTTAGCTTGGCGTTTGAATTATAGTCGCTTCGAGAGCAGAAGTGCTAACATAAACTGGATTTTTAACAAAATAACCGTAGAACAAATCTTGTATGTTAACCGATTGTACTGAATACCTAATTACTGAGCACGTTTTAATAGCCATTTATATGTTGTAACAGCTGGTTGGGGGCCATCCAACTGGATGGCTAATAGAAACGTGACTGGTAAAGAGATAACAAGATGAGTGCTACTGATAAGGGTGACAGCGTTACTGCGACTGTTTTTATTCATTAGCTGTTGAGTACTGTTCAACTAAACGTTGATCGTTGTATATTGGAAGTGGAACGAGTAAAAGCACCGCTAAATGAGGGAAAGCTGTTCAATGGCTAGACGAAGGGTATTGCGACGGTCTGAAGAACGGGGCGAGATCAGGCATGAACATAGGCTCACAAGACAATACTAGGCCAATAGCAGTGCAGCCTAAATCGGCTATTTCACAGGGATGAACTGAATGGCCGAAGCGATGCTAGAGGCTTCCCTGACTCAACGAATGAAGTTGTGAGGCCGTCCTGCCCTGCCGCAAATGAAACGAGAAAGCGCTCAAAAAGCAGTGAAAGAATCAGTTAAAGATACGGTAATACAAGGATATATATATATATATCGCGCACAGCCGTTAGATCTTGCAGCAATAGTACTCATAACGGGCTGTGCAAATCGACAGTACGAAAACATCTCACAGCTTTTGCTTCACTACAATCGACAAATAAGAAGATAGACTTTGTTGCGTTGTAAAAATGTATGTTTTTCTTTCTATTAGCTGGATATATATATATATATATATATATATATAGCTGGATATATATATATATATATAGCAGGATATATATATACGTATATATCTGACAAACGATAAAAAGTAATACGATAACGATGATCATGCAATTTCAATGATGATTAGTTAAGCATGGAGGCGACACACAGGACATAGACACTTGTCTACATAGTTCACAGGAATATTAAACGGCTAGATAGAAGGATATACTCCTGACTTCTCTAAGGACAGCCTGATGGCCGGCTAACAGACTTAGCGCTGAGTAGCGATGAGCTTTCACTAGCAATGCTATTTGCTACCGAAAAAAATGGCTTCGTATACGTCTAAAAGATTTAGATGTATACAATGAAACATAGATGGCTGTCTTCGACAACAGCAGGATAAATCTATGGTTTATTATGGATTTTCTCTGCCTCTGAGAAACAGGTTCGCCGCGCGAAAAAAGTTAACTGGTTCCTCTTTATAGCGCAGTGTAGAATACGGCATCGAACAGATTCCATGGCATGCAATAAATTACGAGCGAACAAAACTTACAAGTTAGAACCCAGCTATCGGCAACAAGTCAGGTTGCAAGCGTTAGACAGACACAAAGCATGAAAACACATTGCACCCAACCAGCCAAAAGCGAGGAATAAATCAATAGAAGTGAGCCCCCGTCCCCTCTATGTTGAATTGCATCGAAACAGAGTTGCTTATGTCATATGAAGCAAGTTCCATATTTCTCCCTTACTACTGATCACGACCCCAGGCTCATAGAGGACAAACAACCTAACACAATTTAACAAACGCCTATTTCGCCTGCCAATACACGGATACGTTTGTAGTCCTAAGTTGAACGTACCTCGAGCGAACTGGATCGAACCGATTACATAAATAAGCGCAATAATAACAAAAATGTGTTTTGAATGCCTCGAGGTTCATGTCTGGAACCGCCGTCAGGCCGGTGTTACGGCAGATCTCATCACGACTCCCAACCAGCAGCTGGTCGTTCATTGTCATAATGAATAACTGTGAGGAATGAAATGGTGTCATGAAGAATCTACATACGGTTGATTTCTCTATTGTTTTTAGGCAGTATAAGAAGATGCTGAAGTTATGCTTAGACACCAATTGTAATACTATTATTATTATTATTATAAGTTATGAATATAAATGGACATGCATGAGGAAGCATATCTGTGGCATAGATGCGTCTCTTTCATACGGGGAGACGTATAGATTTGTACATCTACCACATAGATACCCCACCTATACAGTCACCCTGCTCGCGACACGAACTCAGTTAGCTCATTAAGTCATAAATGTTTTTCAGTGCTTTGTAAAATAGCTATAATCCTGTTAATACCGTATAGAAAAAAATGAAGAAACTATTAATGCAACTATAAGGATCTGCAAGCACATTTACTTGACCCCCTGAAGCACACAGCAGCTCGTGCGATCACAGCCTGTTTTTTTTTCTATTTACTTGTTGTGATGGCAGTGTGTTGTTATTATTTATATTTAAGTATTAAAGACTTTCGTGCTAAGTTTACGTACAGCAATAGAAAAAGTGATGGCTATGGCGGTTAACACATGATGCTAGATGGCCTTTGTTTCTTTATATACTTTATTTGTACTGCTACTATCGTATTAGACCAACATACAATGTCGTCGAAGGGGCAGCAATGTTATTACGTGTGTTTATAATGGTACTTTATTATTATGATTCTACATATTCGAGCGAAAACCGTCAGACAAATTACACCAAACAGAACTACCATTCACCGATAGCAAGTAACTCACAGTGAATCCGCTGACATCATAAAAAGCTATAAAAATCAATGCTGATAACAAAAATGGAAGACCATTTGAATCAAATGATCGTGGCCACAGTCTTTCAACACCGCTGAAAGTTCTTTCATTAAGACGGCTCAATGGGACAGACGTGTGATTAACGCTCATACTACATAATATAACAGCATGCAAGAAGCCTTGTCTAGTGCCAGTCCTTTTTACCTACTCGAACCTACACTCTCTCTAGCTAGAAGCAGCACCTAGTTCCTCTAAAAAAAAAGGAAAAATCAGTTTTGCTTTTTCGCCTTTTGGGAATGCCTTTATTGAACCAGCCCCCTACCAACAGGATAAAGCTTTCATTTGATTTTCATTCATCAAAAGAAAAGCAGAACGCTTTCAGTGAAACGGGCATGTTGTCTGGTCGGTTACTACGTAGAATTACGAGCCTCAGAAAATCCCCATCTTTCGTGCCTTTTATACTCCAGCTGTGTCAATCAGATGTTTGCGATTGTCCTTCAATTCCCTAGAGGGTAAATTGTTAAAGCGAAATCTTGCCGCACGATTGATACTAGCAAATGCAATGAGAGAAATTCACCAGATGCGGCCCTTGAAATAAAGACGATGCGAAATTATTTAGATAAATTATCTACACATTATACGTAAAACGATATGCTCACTAATACGAATCCATAGATTAATTAAATTAATTAAGAATTAGATATTTACAGTGTATTATTCTGCAATTCATTGAATTACTAATCTGTAATCGACATCAAAAGCTTACGCAGTTAGTTACATTTGTTGATTGACCAAATCTGAAAGGTTAACGTGGTTGGAAGTTAAGGAAACTCTGCTTATACATTTGTTGCTTAATATTTTATTGCCTTATTTTCATTCATTAGGAAAATTTTTCTTATTAAGAATTATAGACTAATATTTAAAATAATAATAAAATGCTATTTTCTCGAGAGAGCCTTCGTGTATCACAAGGACCGCACAGAATTTGCTTATACTACTTTACATACACTGTAAATAACAGAAACATACTAACGATATGAGTTGAAGTTCACGAAGATATTGATTCGTACAACACCTGTACATAGAGGCTCTAGAAATATAGCTGTTACTCGAACTATATAGATGGAACAATGAATAATATGTGATAACCCTTCTTTTCGGTGTTCACCGTCCGGGAGAATTATTTCGAAACAAAACAGTAGTAGAAGTAAAAAAGGCTCTTTAGCGTATCCTAAGTATGTTTGATCGTGGCTTAAAGGAAAATTAATTAAGCAAACCTACTCTTTTTTTTAAAATGTGTTTGTTTATTTTCTGTTAAAGCTTGCTCAAAGCTTTCTCTAATTTTAAATTGCTTGGACCCTAGCAAGACTGGCATGTAATTAGAAGGGTGATTTTCCTTATTTCCTCCGAAATTTTATTTGAGTCATTACTGTAAGATCCGGAAGTCAGACCAAAATATTTGCCGCATGATAACAATTCCAGAGCCACTTAGACATATGGTAAAAGGAAGAAAGATGGACACAGGTGGCGATGAATGAGCGGTGACACAAGCAGGTGACACACCTCATCGTGGCGTTGTTTACCGCACGTGAAAGCGAGCAATCTCTCTCCCTCTCGCCCTCCATCTCCCTCTCTCCCTCTCGCTCGCTCTCTCCCTCTCCCCATCTTTCCCTCTCTCTCTCTCTCAAACCCAAAGGGCTTTCACTCTTTTCACAATACTTGTCACGGTAACGACGACAGCAACGATAACAATACTGAAAAAGATAACAATCCTATGTATACAATTATATATGCGTGTATATGGACTGTGTACTCTGCACGATTTCGGTTACCTCTACTTACATGTACATAGATACTCGACATAGAACCATATAACCCAAATGTGTCTGCATATTGTCTTATAGGCAATCAACTAGGTAACACTGTCAAATCATTTAGACTTGTAATGGACCGATAATTTTTGGTTCGACAGATAATCCGTCCTAAAGCCGATCGTTCGCGGAAGCAAGAAATCGTTAGAACATGATTGACGATTCTTCACGTCCATGCTCATTAATTACGGGGCAACATAAGCAAAAAGCAGAAGACACTCATAACCGTAATTGGTCTTTTTTCCATAATTCCCCGAACTCTACACTTGTTCATTTCGCCCCTATATGTCCATACGGAACTATCCATATGGCGATATAGCATAGGTTAATATAGCTCTGTCGATTCTATTCTATAGAAGCGGACGTAATAGAGGGATTTTGTGTGAATGAATGTATGTATGTGTAATTATTTTAATTTGAAAAGATCTTCAACTTTTTTGTTGTTTTTCGTGTCTCTCACGAGCAGTTTTTAATGACTTTACGATGCCATGGATGATCGTAGCTGTCCGTTTTCCAAGCAACAGATGTTTTACGTCTTTTTTCCAGCTTCCTCATTACTATTATTGTTTATTTATCCATCCAGTGCACCGTAATATCCTTCTGAATATCTACTTGAATGCATTTACATTTGTTTTGACCGAAAGGTAAATTTCAAACATACATTTTCATAGTGTGCAGATTTACAATTAGCGTGTAGATAGATAGAGTGCATAGGTACTGCCCCTCAGAGCCATAAGGTATCCGGAGTGGTAAAAGCTTATAATTTTATTATCTATAATCTGAATTTTATAATACTATACTTTATCCCACATAGCACTAATAATGGTATTACTCCGAGCCGTCGATGCCGGCGACTGGATGTGTCTACGTATTACTCTAGCTACAGGTAGGAATTATGATGTGATTGTACGAGGGACAGGATTCGTCTCGAAACACGTTTATGATACACATGCATATAGAAGAATAGGAGATGAACATAGAAGAAATGGTACCGAGAAACGTTTCTTACATGCAGTCATGCCCGCTAAGTCTTTCAATAGTCGATCTACGGCAGTGACACTACGTATGGCGTTAAGCAATCCTCTACCTCAAAACACAGACTTCACGTCGGTCTACAGTGGGTTAAAAATAACACAAGCCACACCAAAATGCTGGGATCAATGTGTCCATTAGGGTGTTTCTGATATTTGTGGATCCATTTTCAATGAAATGAGGTACTTTCAATCGGCACCAAGCATACTTCATGAAGTAATATTTAAATAGTGAGAATACTAGTGAGGCCAGTCGAAAAGCCAGGTTGATTTCTCGTCACAGTGAGGTCTGCTTTT